CTCATCTTCCTTCCTTTCTCGCTCATTTTCTCTCCCTCCTTCCTTCCTTTTTTTCTTCCTTCCTCTTTTGCTTCCTTACTTTCTTCCCTTCCTCCCTCTTTCTTTCTTTTTTTCCCCTCTAACATGGATCATAGGAAAGAATCTTTTTTTCTTTCTCTCTCATTTTTCTTTTTGCTTTTGTTTTATGAAAATGGAAGCCTTCTGTCTTGTTTTACCAGCTTTTTTTTTTTTTCACTTTTAATTTATCTCATCAGTAGCTTTTTTTAATCTTGAAAAACAATCTTGGCTGGATGCGGTGGCTCAACCCTGTAATCCCAACACTCTGGAAGGGCGAGGTGGGCGGATCACCTGAGGTCAGGAGTTCAAGACTAGCCTGGCCAGCATGGTGAAACCCTGTCTCTACTAAAAATACAAAAATGAGCCAGGCGTATTAGCGGGCACTTGTAATTCCAGCTACTCAGGAGACTGAGGCAGGAGAATCACTTGAATCCAGGAAGCAGTGGCTGCAGTGAGCTGAGATCACGCCACTGCACTCCAGCCTAGGTAACAGAATGAGACTCTGTCTAAAAAAAAAAAAAATTTGGCATGGTGGCCCACGCCTGTGGCCCCAGCTATTTGAGAGGCTGAGGCGGCAGCAAGGACAGGGCTGTGTCTGCTTCCCAGGTCCCGTCCCAAGTCCCATTCTAGGGTTGTTTCTGATGGACACCACTGCTGCTTCAGCGAACGCTGGAGGGCAGTTTGCCCGAATCAGGAGCCTTAAAACGAGACCCCTGGGGGCCATAAAGGAAGCCCCTGCCCCTGAGAGAGAAGCGCAGGCTCAGAGCCTGTAGGGGCCCCACCACGGCCTCACTCACACCTGGCCCACCCCAAGGCAGCGAAGAAAGGGCAGGTTCAGCTGTGCCCCCATGGGGGTTGGGGGGAGGGCAGGGCCTCCCTCGGGGCTGTGCGGGGGAGGGGAGGTGGGCAGGGATTAGGGAAGCTGCCAGTCTTTGCTGGAGTGTCGGCGGCAGGCGTTAGGTGAGGCCCTCCCAGCCTCTGCTGCGTGGGTGGTCAGGCCATTGTCTGCACGTTTGCTCCTGCACCTCAGTATCCGCGGTGGGGACAGGGATGGTAAAGTGTGCTGTGTTCATGAAGGAGTCTTCGCTATGGACGGTCAGCTTCTCCATATCAAGCCGCATCCAAAATTCATCCCGTGTGCACGTGTAGGGGTGCATAGCACACGCTGTGTCCACTGGGGGTGCAGGCGTGGGAGGAGACAGAGGGCTGCAGGGACTATTCCGAGCGTGAGCTTTCCTTATACTGTCTTAGCTGTCACCTTTACAATCCCTCAAATCTGGCTTCATGTCCGCACAGCACAAAAAAGGAGGGACCGAGGCTGGCCTCTGTGGCCGGCAGCTTGATGTCCTCGGGGCCTCTGCTGGGAGTTGGGTGGTCAGGCTAAGGACCCAGGGCGAGCTTGGGGGTCTCAATGAGGGTTGGCCTTGCGCTGTCCCATCAGGCCATCGCCACACGGGAGGAGCTGCACACCCTGCACGCCCGGGGCCTGCAGGAGAAGGACGCGCTGCGCAAGCACGTGCGGGAGCTGGGCGAGAAGGCTGACGAGCTGCAGCTGCAGCTGTTCCAGCGTGAGGCGCAGCTCCTGGCCGTGGAGGGCAGGCTCAGGCGGCAGCAGCTGGAGATGCTCGTCCTGGTGGGCCTGGTGCATGGGGCAGGGAGGGGAGCTGGGGGGACGCAGGGATTGGGGAGCATGGAGCCTCAGGACGCCCTGGCCTTGGGCTTCCCGACCCAACCCTCCTCTGTGATGGGCCCCAACCTAACGGAGCCCCTCCTCGCAGGGGGGTGAGGGCACAGGGGCAGATTGGGGCCCCAACAGGAAGTGGGGCTGCAGGGCCAGGGTGTGGCCTGGGCGTGGCCATCAGGCAGCCTAGCAGGTGGTTCTGGTCATGGAGGGGGCTGTGGTGGCTGAGGGCATGCCCAGGGCCCCCGGAGGAACCCACTCTGTGCCCTGTCCGCCCCGTGCCTGCTGAGCCCTAGGCCCCCACAGCTCACTCACCCCATTTTCTATGACCACAGAGCTCCGACCTGGAGGATGGCTCACCCAGGAGCTCCCAGGAGGTGAGTGAGCCCCCAGCCGGCACAGGACTGCCCCACCTTCACCCGAGCTGCCACCAGGCACAGCCCCACACTCCCCATCACGTGGTCCTGCTTGGTGGCTAGGCTGGGTGGAGGAAGAGCAGGCAGCCGCACACTAAGGCCTCCGACAGCTCAAAGGGTAAGGACAGTGCCCACCTCCTGGCACCCTCATGGCAGGACCTTCCTGGCTGGGCGCCTGAGTCGATGAGAAGCTCTGTGCAGGGGGTGATGGCGATGGCCAAGAGCTGGGGCGGGCAGTGTGGCCAGGTCCAGTCCCTGGCAGAGGGGCCTAATGGGACATCTCACCTCTCTTCCGAAGCTCTCGCTCCCCCAGGACCTGGAGGAGGACACCCAGCTCTCAGACAAAGGTGAGGAGGTGATGGCTGTGCACCCGGAGGCCTCCCGGCTGCCCCAAGTGAGGCCCATCTTCAGCGCAGGCAGCCGTGCGTGACACGAGCCTGTCTCTGCTTCCACCACCCGCCCTCCACAGACGGGGAAGCTTGGGCTGGGGGATACGTAAAATGGCCAAGGTCACCCAGAGAACAGACCACAGAGCCCAGGTGGAACCTGGGGCCCCAGTTGGCAGGACAAGTGTCCCCAGGGGTGGGGAGGGAGAGGCAGTCACTGGTGGGAGTGCTGGGCCTGGGTTGCTGTCCATTGCCCCTCCTGGGGCAATAAATAGGCACGCAAGTCCACACGTCCCAGTGTCACCTACAGAATGCAGTCTACACTGGACCCACGTGGGGGTCCCACCAGGCCTTGGAAGACAGCCCCACAGGGTGTCAGCAATGCCGAGGAGGGGTGTGGCAGCCCAGCTGTGCGTGGCCCTGCAGGTGGGCAGGAATGACTCTCCTTTCCAGGTGGCCTGGCCGGTGGTGGGAGCCAGGAGCAGCCCTTTGCAGCTCTGCACCAGGAGCAGCTTTCACTGACCCCCCATGTAAGGCTGTCCCGGGATGGGCTCCCCCAGCTGTGGGCCTCAGGGTGACTGATCACAGGGAGGGTGGCTCCTCACCCTGGGCACCCCCTGCAGTGGTCCCAAAGGCTGAGGGGTGACCACGAGGTCTCTGTCCTCAGTGCTTGGTGTGCAGTGTCTGGGATGTGAAGGGGCCACCCTCTCTTCTGGAGCACTGCAGCAGCCTGCCGGGGCTTGGAAGTGGATGTGCCAAGTCCTGGTTTCTCGGGGGCCTTTACAGCAGATGCAGCATCCGCCCCGAGTAGGCTGGACAGGAGCCCTGACAGCAAAGGCTGCCTTGGGCTTTGTTGTAGAGACAAAGACCTGGGGCCCAGGCTGGAGCCGAGGCTTGGCCTCCTGGCTGTGTCCTGGCATCTGAAATGCAGGAGGCCCACTCCGGCTCCCCTCCCGGGGTACAGGCAGGCCCCCCAGGGGGAGCTTGGCCCTGAGCTGGGCTGACGCTGTCTGGGCTCCCTGCCTCCCCACCAGTCTTCCGTTGCAGGGGCCAGTGGGGGGTGCGTGAGAAGGGTGGGGGTCCCTCGGGGTGCCAGCCAGAGCCTGAGCCTTCCCCCTTCTCCAGGACGCAGGCCTGAGCAGCGGGGAGCCCCCAGAAAAGGAGCGGCGGCGCCTCAAGGAGAGTTTTGAGAACTACCGCCGGTAGGCAGGTGGCCCCCAGCCTCCTCCAAAGCGGACTGGGGAGGGGCAGCCGGGTCTGCGCCTGAGACCCGTGTCTTCGCAGGAAGCGTGCCCTCAGGAAGATGCAGAACGGCTGGCGGCAGGGGGAGGCGGACCGGGAGAACACCACGGGCAGCGACAACACCGACACCGAGGGCTCCTAGCCGCAGCAGCGAGGGCCTGGCCCAGGGCACGCCCACCGGCCCTGACACCCAAGGGTGCTGACGCCCTGGGCTTGGAACCGGGAGTCTGGTGCCCTGAAAGCCCCAGCCGGGCCGCCGAGCGTTGGGGTGTTCTGTTAAGCGGCCTTCAGCTTGCGGAGCCCACACGGGTGCTCGCCACCCGTGCACACGCATTTGTGTAACTTGAGGGTCTGCCGTATTTCACCGTGTAACACACGATACATGCATGCATTGTGTAAGTGTTAGAAAACGCGCCTACGTAAATAAATAGCACGGGTGACCCGAATTCCCGCTCCTAACTCGCGAGCAGCCCTGGGACCGTCCCTCCTCGCTGCGGACCCGCCATGTCCTCGGGGTGCGGGCAGCACGTGGGCGCAGGGCCCCCACCAAGCTGCCAGGGGGCGGCAGAGCGCAGCGCGCCCCGGCCCGGAGGCCCAGGCAGGCCGCTTCCGCCCGGTGCCCGCTTCCAAGATGGCGGGGGGGGCGGGGCCCGCGCTGGGCGGCCCGAGTCGCAGGGCGGGATGCTGCGGGCGGCGCTGGGCGGTGCGCCGAGGCTGCTGTGCCGCTTGCAGCCCCCGGAGTCCGGTCTGAGGCGGCTATGGGGCCGCAGGGCCCGCACGGAGGTCGCAGGGAGGCGGCGGGCCTTGGCCTGGGGATGGCGGCGCTCAAGCTCCGAGCCGGGGCCGGAGGCGGCGCTGGGACGCGTGGAGGTGGCGCACTACCAGCTCGTCTACACCTGCAAGGTGGGCGCGCGGCGGGACGGAGCCGGGGCCAGACCCACACCTGGCGCCAGACGGCCCGCGGGGACAGGCAGCCCGGGGAGGGTGTTTTCCGGAGGGGGCGGGGTCAAGTCACAGGAAGGGGTGGAGCCATCCCGTGGGGCGAGGTGGGTGTGAGGCCTTCTGGGAGGGGGCGGAGTCGGACCCTGAGAAGGCGTGAAGCTGTCCCTGGGGCGGGGCCTTCCGAGGCTGCGGTGGGTGGAGCTATCACTAGGGGGCGGGGCCTTCCCCAGAGTGGGTGGGGTGGGTGGAGCTACCCCTCGAGGGCAGGTCTTCCCGAGAGAGCGCGCGGGGTGGGTGGAGCTATCTCAGGGGCGGGGCCTCCCCCGGAGACGGCGAGGTGGGTGGAGTTACCCCTCGAGGGGTGGGTCTTCCCGGGAGGGGCGTGGCGGCGCTCGCAGCCTCACCAGCTGTCCCGTCCCAGCCAGGTCTGTGGGACTAGGTCCTCCAAGCGCATCTCCAAGCTGGCCTATCACCAAGGCGTGGTCATTGTGACCTGTCCGGGCTGCCAGAACCACCACATAATCGCAGACAACCTGGGCTGGTTCTCGGACCTGAATGGAAAAAGGTGAGGCCTCTACCCCAGGGCTGGGCCAGGAGCCCACCCAGAAGGACCCTGGCCTCTCTCGGGCGAACGTTCCCCTAGTGTGGAGGTTTATAGATCCCACCTTGGCAATCCAGTCACCTTGTCAGTACAAGACACACAGTTAAATGAGAATTTCCCAGAAACCCCAGACGGCTTTTTGGTGTAAGTCTGCCCCATGTAGGGGTACATTTTAGATGCTAAATTTTGCCCCGTGGCCCTGCCTCTTTGCCTGCCCTCTGCCCTCACTGCCAGCCTTGTCCCTCTCTGGTGTAGTACTTTCTTGTCCTCTGCCATCTCGGGGTGGCTGGCCCATAATAGCAAGGCTTAGGGCGTGGGCCCTGGCTGCCGGGAGAGCAGTGGAGGCGGTGTGGGGAGCCTGGTCCGGGCCTTGCCTGGCCACCACCTGGCTGGGAGGTCCCGGGCAGTGTCCTTTGCCCTCTGAGCTCCGCGTTCTCATCTGAGGACAGGACAGTAACTGCAGCAGCAGGTCTGAGACCAGCGTGCCAGGTGCTTGGTGGTGCCTGGCCCTTGGGGCTGGGGCTGTCCTCCCATCAGACCCAGGGCTGTGTAGACTTCCCTCTGGCGCGTAGAGGATGGGACTGGTTTCCTGAGGTGGCGCTTACCAGCCGAGACACAGGGCTGGTGGGGGTGCATGGGCCAGCGTCTGAGGTGCCCCTGTGGCCTGCTGCCACAGGAGTGCTGGGCATGGGGTGCCCTGAGGGGACTGAAGTGCAGGGCGGGGGTAGGGGGACCTGAAGAGCCACGTTGCCTCCCTGCCTCTCAGAAATATTGAAGAGATCCTGGCGGCCAGAGGCGAGCAGGTGCACCGTGTGGCTGGCGAGGGGGCCCTGGAACTGGTTCTGGAGGCTGCAGGGGCCCCCACATCCACTGCTGCTCTGGAAGTGGGTGAGGATGAGGATCCCACCTGCCCTGGCAAGACGGAGCCGAGCTGACCCCTGCGCTCCCCGGCACTGTGGGACTTCTGCCTTCCAGAAGGATATTTTGGTCCTGGGCCTCTCCGGACTTGGCCTGTTTTCTATCAATAAACAAACATCCCTTCCGGGTGCCGGGGCCTGTGGCCCTGGTGGCGTTTCTTTTTCTGGAGTTAGAAGGACTGCTCTGAATCCTTGGTAATGCTGGGTGGGACGTTGGAGCCGCAGGACCCTGGGCCTCACCATGGTTCCTTCTATGCAGAGTCACCTTGCATGGGCCCACAAGGGCCACGGGTTCGTGGAGAGGAGGCTGGATGCACAGTCAGACCCCCTCCTGGCTGTCGCTGCATGGCTTTGAGCAGGTCACCACTCCTGTGAGCCTCAGCCTTCCCCTGCAAGCTCCTTGCCGTCCTCCCGGACAGCTCTGCTGATCCACACTTTGTGAGTCAGTGCAGACCTGAGACCTGGCCCACGCAGGACCAGCAGCTCTGATGGCCGAGGGTCAGGAGCTCCAGGCCCCTCCGGGGAGCCAGCTGGGCCTCCCTCCCTCAGTGGGCAGTGCGTGCCCCTGGGGCCTCTGAGGCGTGTGGGGTTCATCTCCAGCCTTGTTTGACTGCCCACAGATGTCCCTGTGTTTATGAAATTGAGCAAACGCAGGGGCCTGTTTATTTGCAGAAATGTTCTGTGCTTTGTGACCTTCAGCATTAATCACCCGCCACACTCTGACAGCGAAGACGGGATGGGGCGTGGTGGGAGGTGGAGGAGGACAGCGAGACAGGGACCCAGTGCGGCCCCTCCCAGTGGGACCTGGCTGGGACTGCCAGCTCACAGCCAGCCCGTGGGAGGCCAGGGCATGGCTGCATTTTTCCCAGTGCGCTCCTGGCATGGGCTTTGCCTCGATTACCAACAGCCCTCTATTACTCCCACCCGGAGCCTCTGTGCCACGTGTGGAAACTCTCCTCCGGGCCGAGCCCCCGCTCCCTGGCCTGCTCCTCCATAGAGGCACTGGCTGGGGGTCTCCTGGGGGCCTGGAAGTGCAGGGGCCAGTGGGGCTGGGCTTGGCCTGGCTGCCTCACTGCCTCCAGAGGGCCTGGACCAGCATGTTGGGAGGTCCAGGGAGCAGTTCAGACCTGGAAGTGCAGAACCGGATGGAGAGCTACTCAGGCCAATCCTCTTCTTACAGATGGGAGATGGAGGCCAGGAGTTGGTAGGTAGACTACCATGTCTTTCTGTGTCTGCTGCCAGCACCTCTGGGCCCAGGCTGGCCCTGGAAGGACACCCCTCCCAAGGCTGGCATGTTCCTAGGGAGTAAAGTTCTATTCCACCCCCGAGCCAGATGCGTCCCACCAGCTCCTGCCTGAGGTACCCTGGAGCCCGTCTCCCTCTGCCCTTCCCTCCCCCAGCCCACTCCCACAGCCAGGTTTCTGCCAGGGGCTTTGCCATCCGACTCTCCCCTACTCTGCACTTGCCACCCCTCTGGGACATCCCTGCCTCCCAGGGACAGCTGCTGGCCTGGACATCTGTATAGCATGCCTCTCCAAGAAGGCTCCCAGCCGCACCTTCAGAGGCTGTGCCTCCCTAGCTGTGAGTGGTCCCAGGCCCTGCGAGGTTACCTGGACCCTGTGTGCCTGGGCCACTGCCCACAAGCTGGCTGGGACCCCAGACCTGGAGTACTCGTCCATTCTGGTTCCCAAGGCCCCTTCAGGGGTGGAGGTGGCAATGGAGCCAGCCAGCACATTGGGGCTGTGGCTGCCAACATGGCCAGATGGGCCGAGTCGAGGGGGAGCGCGACTGCTCAGCTCGGCTGTGTGTCCTCTGATGGGGCCCCGTGGGGGTGCTGCCTGCCACAGGCATTGCCCAGACAAGCCCCAAGACTGCCCATCTGCCTCCAGCTCCTCCATTGCACCTCAGAGCCCAGACCCTGAGCCAAACCGGGTCAGGTCAGACTCCAGGGAAGGACCTCTCCCTCCTAATTGCAGGGTGGGTGGCAGCAGTGGGGCTGATGGGGGTGGGGGACGGGGGAGGGCTGTTGGAGGGCCACCCCCGGCAGCTCAGAGCATGCTCTGTCCCCCTAGGGGCCGGGGGCTTGAGAAGGCAGGTGCAGGGGTCAGTGGTGACAGCTGACAGCCACTTCACCCCTCTGCGCCCCAGCCGCCCCATGGTTAAATGCAGTGGGAACTCCATTTTTTTTTTTTTGAGATGGCGTCTCTGTCACCAGGCCAGAGTGCAGTTGTGTGATCTCGGCTCATGACAACCTCCACCTCCCGGGTTCAAGCAGTTCTGCCCCAGCCTCCCGAGTAGCTGGGACTACAGGTGCCCACCACCACGCCTGGCTAATTTGGGAACTCCATCTCTCTGAGGTCTCCGGGGCCCAGAGAGTGGTGTCTGGACACTGTGCCCAGTGCAGCCTCTTACCCGGGCCAGGCCACCCCTGGCACTAAGCCCACACGGGCCACACTCACTTGGCGACTTTATTTTTCAGGAGAAAAACAGAAAAACAAATGTACCTTTTGGGTTGGAAAGGACCCATTGACAACGTGGCACAGACATGTGAGCAATAAATATGCATGTACATTCAAGTATGCAGGGTGGTGCTGGGTCCTGGAGGCCCTGTGTTTGGGCATCTGTCCCTGCCCTCGGGTGTGGCCCTGCCCCTCTAGAAGCGGGTCACCTCGTCGGGCCCAGGACTCCTGTCCACCCCGGCCTCAGAGCGGGGCCTGGAGGCACCCTCCTAGATGGAACTGCCAGCTCCAGGGGGTGTGGGGCCATGGCAGGGCCCACGGCACTTGGGAGGTGCCAAGGCTGGGTATGGACAGGAGCAGGCCACCTCAGGCCCATCTCAGGCTCTGGCAGTTCCTGCGGGGCGCAGGGTCTTGAGCTCGGTGACCTTTGGGCCCCTCCCCGTGGGGAGACAGTGGGATGTCATCTCCCCTAGCTGGTGGGAGGAGGGGGTTCTCATCTGGGGGACTGCAGGGTTGAGCTGAGCGAAGCCTCCCCAGCTTCCACTGACCCTCCACTCACGTGAGGGTCACAGAGCCTGGTGCTGCCTCCCACCCACCGACTGGGCACTGTTCCCGCTGCCAGCTAGCATCCTTAGGGCCAGGCCCTGCCCTTCTTCCTGGCTTGGGGTTTTTGAAGGTCAACGTTCATGGCCGGCCGTTCCCTCTGCTCTAGAGACAGGCCCAACCCCCATCGAGGCCCTAGCAGGGCCCTGGGACTCGGGTGGGGGACCCTGAGGGCTGCCGCTGCAGCCTGGTCTGCCATGACTGGTCTGGGAGGGCCTTCTGTAGTCTCTGACCTCTTCCTCCCCCAGCTGGGGCAGGAGTGGGGAGACAGGCTTGGAGGGAGCCCGCCTGGGGATGAAGCCGGAGGGAGGAGCATGCCTGCCGCAGGGCTGTCCAAGGACCAGCTCTGGGGGGACAGAACACGGTAGCCCTAAGAAGAGGCTCAGAGACACCTTTCGGGAGGGTGGGGGAGACACCAGGGTTTCACATTTGGCAGGGCAGGGCAGAGCGGGAAGGGCTTGCGGGAGAGGGCAGGGGAGTCTGCACAGCACCGGGTTGGGGCCGATATGCTGAAGGCCCTGTCCGGCGTGTGGCGGGGGCAGGGGAGGAAGCCGAGAGCCATGGGGGCCCAGCCCAAGATGGAAGCACGCCCTCCCCGCATGGGCAGCTTGGCCTGAGCCTGCCACCCTGGGTCAGGGAGGCCATGGGGCTGCATGCCCAGTGCCTGTCCTCGGCGATGGCCTCGGGAGATCGTGGCTGTGACTGTGAGCCCAGCATCCGGAGGTGGGGGCAGGGTGGGCCTGGCAGTGGGCGCAGGGCCTTAGCTGGTACCGGGCTGGCACTGCTGCTGGGGCTCGGGCAGGTCACCTGCCCCCTGCTCCAGGCCCCCCGCGAGGTCCACCCGCTGCTCGTCCATGCGCTTGGCCTGCACCCTCTGGATGAGGCTGAAGAAGTCCTCGTCAGGCATGGTGGGGCCCCGGGGCAGCACGTCAGGCGGTGGGCAGCGCTGGTCATCGATCCTGGAGGACTGGGTGGACACACGCGCGGTTGGAGGCCTCACCCTCCCCAGGCCCGGTGGTCCAGGGGCCAGTGGACAATGGCGGTTCCGGAGGGCCGGCGTGCACTGCTCATGGGCCTGTTCTGGGCCTCCCCGTGCCGACCCAGGAAATTGGCTCCGGGGCCTGCCTCATGCTCGGGTCTTGTGCTGGGAGCCCAGACCCTGAGGCAGGTTCTGGAGGCCTCTCTCTCCCCCAACCCCAGGAGCCCAGGGCGGGCCCACCCAGAAAAGCAGGTCCAATGGTTCCAATTGGGTGTGGGTGCGCCAGGCCCAGGAGACAGTGGCCAGGGCAGCATGGGAGGCCTGCTCCCCAGATCTGCTGATCCCCAGGGTCAGGCATGCGTGGCTGTTCCTCTGCCAGGCCCTGGAAGCTGGCACAGCCTGGAGCTGACCCGGCAGGCCTGGGGTCTCAGCTCCCAGAGCGCGAAGCGTGGGGCTCCCCAGGGTTCCCCCTTGGGTCAGGTGGCTGACCCCGTGGGCGTCGCCTGCTCCAGCGTGAAGGCCAGGGGGCCAAGGGGGCGTCTGGGCTTCTCTGAAGGACCTGGAGCAGGAGGGTCGGGAGCTGGTGCAGGCATGCGTGCGAACGGGGGGCTCTGGGCCTCTTGGGTGGGGCTGGTTTGGAGGTGGCCGGTCGGACGCCTGGCCCTGGGCCACAGTTTCCTCTCTGCTGTGGGGAGGACGGCAGACCTGGAAACCTGCTGGCTTGGTGCGTGTGTGGGCCAAGCTGCCCCCACCCCCGGCTTGTTCCCGAGTCTATGGGCCCTGAAACCCTTCCCAGCAGTGGCTACACCCCCCACAGGGATGGCACGACCCCCAGAGTTTGAGGCCCCGGTTGGGACAGCTTAGCTGAGCAGTCCCCAATCCGGCTGCCCCACCCGGCTCACCCCTACACAGGTGGGGAGGGCACCCTCGGTGTGGCTGCCGGAATGGAGCCCCGGCCCTGGCTCTGCCCTCTGGGGCTGGACCCTCTGCCCCTGCTGTCCACTGCATGGGTCCCTGGATGGCCCCTGCCTTTGACCTGCCAGCCGGCCGGCAGCCCTGGGTCCCCCTGCCCTCCCCACTCTCGGGGTGTTTTCCCTGCTGGGTGTGGAGGCTGTGGAGGGATGGCGGGGAATACCTGAGGCCACCAGCTCCAGGACCTGTGACCACCCCAGTCCCCGCCCTGAGTTCCTGTGCAGAAGGAGAGTGGCCCAGCCTGGGGGTGTCCTGGGGTTGCCTTCTGTGGGGATCTCTGGTGTCCCCAGCAGCCTGGGGCTCCCCGTAGTAGGTCTCCAGGCTCAGGCACCCCTGGCCATCTGGTGATACCCCAAACCTGGCCTGAGACGGAGGAACCGCACCCCCCAGGACCCACTCACTGCCTCCACCATGGATAGCAAAGGGGCCGTGAGCCAAGCCCGCCCCGGCCGCAGCCCACCTGGTACTTGATGAGCATGTTGAAGAAGTCATCCTCCGGCTCCTGGGGCTCGCCGTGGCCTCGGAGGTGCCCGGCATTGCTGTGGGTGATTCGCAGTCCCGGCAGGCTGCCCACGCTGGCCCGCTGGTCGTCCAGCCTGCGGCTCTGGGAGCTAGCGATGAGGTCGAAGAATTCCTCAGTCTGGGGCGAGGCAGTCATCGAGGTCTGAGCTGCAGGGGGTGGAGGGTGAGGCTTGGGGCTCGGGCTGTGGCCACGGTGAGCGCTGACCTCTGAGCCCAGCCCAGCCCATGGTGCTCCGGGGCCCACGGCTCCCGGGGGAGTCGCCGCTGCCCGGCCTGGGTGGCTCTCAGCTGCTGCCCCTGCTGTGGCTCCCACGCCCACCTCTGGGCCTTTCAGGGGTGATAGGAGGAGAATTCGGCTTCCCACACCCGCTCCAAGGCCGCTCATGAGCCCTGACAGCGTGTTCCGGAGGGCGGGCTGATTAAACACTTCCTGGGATGCCGCTCTTTGGAGGCTGGAAGGGTGCACCCGGTGACAGGGGTGCTCTGCAGCTGGCCTGCTGGTCTGTCCCCTGAAAGCTCCTCCCTGGAAGCAGGATGGAAGCCCTGGTCCTGGCCCCTGCAGATGAACCCAAGGGGAAGGCCCAGCAGAGCGGGACACTCACCGATCCTGTCCTCCAGGGTGGGGGCGGCCGTGGCCTCAGCAGCCCCAGCCTGGCCGTCTTCCAGGGGACAGCGCTGGTCATCCATGCGGCTGCTCTGGAACTTGGTCAGCAGATCAAAGAAGCACTCCTCGTCAGAGGATGGGGCCCTCGGGATGCTCTGCGGAGGCAGTGGGGTCACTGTGGCCAAAGTCCCACAGCACCCGCCCCCCCGCACAAGACGGGGGCTGCTTGCCGGGGCCACACACTTCTAAGACCCTGGCCAAGGTCGGGACCCGCATCTGCCCCCTGCCGGCTATCCTTCCCCAGGACGTGCCACCCCCTGGCCCCTGCTGACTCCCCTAGACTTCTCCCTTCCTGTGGCTGCCAGCCCGGTCCAGGCCTCTGTCATCACCTGCCCACCCTCCCCAGACATCCTGGAAGCCTCCCTCGCCTCCTGCGCTGTGCCTGCCACGCCCTCTGTCGGCCCTGCCACCAGCTCCCTGTGTCCCTGCTGTGCTTGGCCCTCACCGGTGTCTGCGGCATGAATGAACATGGAAGGAATGGACCCGCTCTGGCCTCAGTCTACACATCCAAACAAGGGAGGCTGGCGGGTGTGTCTCTTGTGGCCACCTGAGGGGCCCAGCTGAAGCAGGTCCACCCTGTGACCCAGCCTCAGGGGGCCTGGTCGGGGCCTGGGGGCTGAGGGGTGGCTGTGATGGTTCAAAGCCCCGTCCGCCTGCCCACCAGCGCCGGTACACGCTGCGCGGCCCAGCCTGTCCATCCCACAGCTGGTGGCCTCCTCCAGGCCCGCTCAGTGCGGGGCTCAAAGCTGAATGGAGTTAACAAAAAACACGATGGGCAGAGGTGCCACCTCCTGGGTGCCCGATGCTGCCTGGAACTCCTGACACCTGACCCCCAGCCCAGAAGACAGACAAATGCTGGGACCAGCCCAGGGCACAGGAGAGTGAGGTCCAGAGAAGCGTGTGACCTACCCAAGGTCACACTGGAGCAAAAAAGACCCCTGAGCTGAGCCATGGGCCCGTGGGCAGCCCTGTTTTAGGAGAGACCCCACGGGGCTCCAGGCCTTGGAGTCACTCCCCAGCTGTAACGGTAGCTCCTGACCCTGAGGCAGAGCCGGGGAGGAGGAATTCTAGCACCTACTTCTCCCTGCAGGGCTCCGTCCTCCTGCGGCCTGGCTCAGGCCTGTGGCAACACCCCCACTGCCCCCATTCCCCAGCCAGGAGGGCGGGGAGAACTGCCCCAGGCTGCGGGGAGGGCCACAGGCACAGGGGCTCTGGGAGCTGCAGGTCCAGGCAGAGGGTGGCAGTGGGGGAGCCATACAGGTGACTCCCAGGGAGGATGTGGCCGCCTGGTCTAAAAGGGACTGGCTCTCTGGCTGTGGTGACCTTGGATACAGCTGCATCTGGCCCAAGCTGTGCTTCCCCCGGTGACCTGGGGCCCAGGTGAACTGAGCAAAGGCCCTGCTGGGAAAGGCAGGACCCATCGGGGGCCATGTCCCAGGCGCCATGGCAAAGCCCCTCCCAGGGTCCCATGCCGGGCAGCCCTTCCCTTCCCTGAGGCTGGCGCCGCCTGTCCAGGGGCTAATGCAGCCCTCATGTGGGCAGGGGTCCGAGACCATAGGTGCAAAACCGTGGCTGGTATGGGGAAAGGCTCCAGACAGTTTTCAGCCCCTGAGGGGCAAGATCCTGAGCCCCAAGGCCAGCTGCCCCTGCATTTAGGTCCCAGTAGAACATGTCCAGGGAGACTTGGGGTCCCACCTCCCTGCTCTAACCTCTCCCTTGTCCGAAGTCCTGGCTCCCTCCTTCCTGAAGTTCTCAGAGTTCTTCCTCAAGTCTGACTCCAGTCTCTCTTGCCTTAGTGCAAACCCAGTTTCTCCCACGGAGGAGCGAAACATACCCTGACCAGGTCCTCCCCACCCGGCTTCACGGAGGCCCCTGTGCTCCCCCAGCCTCCACCTGTCAGGAACCCAGGTACCCCAGACTCACACAGATCACAGGCTCTCTCCACAGCAGCAGGAGCCACACTGGGTGCTTGGCCACACACAGCCCAGGCAGGACCCAGGGTGCCCAGGGCCACCACCACCCTGCCCAGAGTGTCAAGTGGTGCCGCAGGGCTGGGATGCCTGAGGCTTAAATAGGATCCTGGGCGAGGCTCAGCCCTGCTAGTACCGCCCTCTCACTTGAGCGCACGCACACACTCAGGCTCACACACACACACACACACGCACACGCAGGCTCACACACGCGTGCGCGCACACGCTCCTGGGGAGTGTTTACTCTCCAGTGAGTGCAGCAGCGAGCCTCCCCCCACACCTGTGGGCGGACATGCTGCTGAAGAGCCCTTTATCCAATGATACCCGGGCCCCTGGGCCTCCCTCCGGAGCCAGGCCAGCTGGGGGAAGCCACGTATTTCTTCAGCCTGACTCTGGAGGCAGGTGCAGAGGAGCTGGGTGGGCTGCTATCCTCCCCATTTGGACTCTTCTGTTTGGGCTGGCCTTCCTGCCCCACAGCCCTCGGTGGCTCCCCAGTGCCCTGGCTCGGGCCTCCTGGCCAGCTCAGCTCCATCCTGCTGCCTACTGCCCCTCTGTCTCGTTCCTGACTGGACCCACACTGTTCCCAGCCTTTGAGGCCAACCCTGCCCTCTGCCCCAGAATGAGTTCTCTGGACCCCCAGACCACACCCAGCTGCACCGCTCAGACCCCAAAGCCCCAAATGTGCTGGCTGCCAGGCCCCTGCACTGTCTGGGCACAGGGTGTGGAGGGGCAGGGGCTGGCTGGTCAACAAGAGCAACGGCACAGTGTCAGCATCAGCTGCACGTGACAAACAAGGACCTCAGCTCAGAGGTGAACACCCTCCCCTGAGGACCCCAGCAGAGGGGGGGGCCCACCTGGCCACCACTGCCCAGGGGTGTGTCCCCCAGCCACCCACGCAGGCTGCCACCAGGGTGCAGACGGCCCTTACTAGGGGGTACCCAAGGCCCTGACCTCAGGAAGGCCAGTGGGGTTCAGGTCAGCAGAGAACCAGGAGGCCCTGGCACATCCTCACAGACCCGGGGACCCCGTCCGTCTGATGCCAGGATCCTGGCTGTCCCGGGCATCCTGCCCTTTGGTGGGCCAGAGGAGCAGAACCTGAGGCAGGTGGGGGCTCCTTGGCCAAGGCCTCCAGAGTGCTGGACCAGGCAGCTGGACACCTAGAACTGTGTCCCCTGGCCCCACCAGCCCAGGCCCTGGGCAGTTTACTGGGGGCACATGAGGCAAGCCCAAAGCCTCTGCTTCCTACAAAGCCACCTGCCCGTGAGGCTGGCTGACTCTGGCCTGTCCCACACACACTGCCAGCCTCCCGCTCCTTCCTTGGCGGCCCAGATATGATGGGCAGGGCTGGCTGTGGACAGGGCAGGTGCCTGGGTCCTAGTCCTGCTCCTCTCTCCAGTCCCAGGGAGGCTGGGGGGCCACTGGGACCCCCAGGAAGGCCTGACCAGGTGCTCCCTGGGATGAACCCATCCCAGAGGGTCAGGCAGTGCTGGGGTAGAATGAGGGGAAGGTAGGCTGCGGCCTGTGGTGGGAAGGACGGGCATCCCAGCCTGGCACCCGCGCACTCCGCTGGAGCCATGGGGGAACTGTTTCAGACTCATTTCTAGTGCTTGGGACCCAGCCGCCCTGCTCGGGGAGCTCCACGATGACCTCTGAACCCAAACTTGGCCTGTCTGTGTCCCTGAATGCCAACTGGCTCCCCTGTGGCTGGAGAGGCCCCCGGACAGCGGACACCTGCCAGCAGTCAGAGCCCCGGCCTGTCCCCGTCCCCCCCCCGTCCCTGAGCCTGACCCCCATCTGTGTGTCCCGAATCCGTCCCCCACATGCTTGGCAGTCAGTGCCACTGCCCCACCCCTCCCCCACTGCTGTGTGCCACAGCAATGCAGGGGCTCCTGGTGAGCCCTGAGGACTTGGGGTGGCCCCTAGGCTGCACTGCTGATGCTTGCTGGGCTCTGACCCTCTGCCCCCGCAAAGCCTCCAATGCCGCTCAGCTCGTGACCCTGAGCCCAGGTGGGGCAGGGCGGGGTGGGGCCTCCCAGGCCCTGACCAGGAGGAGCCCTGGGTGGTCCCAGCCCCTTGCTGTCCCCTCACCAAGGGCTCTGCAGCCGTGCACAAGCCACCCAGCTGCATCCCCTCCACAAGCCCACTGGCCATCAGTCCTGCCCTGGCCCCTGCCAGACTCGGAGAAGCCCCAGCACCTCGGCCAGGCTGGAGCTGCAGCAGCTGGTGTCTCCACCCCAGGGCCTGGCCGTGGGCGTGGCTTGGGGGCTTCCCACCTGCCCCTTGGGTGCCCCACAAGCCCCTCTGCTCAGGGACCCCATCAGGTATTAGAGACCCCGGGATTCCCCCAGGGATTGCGTTGGCTTCGTCCACCTCTCTGGGGCCCTGCTAGGGTACAGGGCTGACCTCACTGGCCAGGGCCTCCAAGAGCCGCCTCAGGAAGGGGTACCCCATCGGGGCATCTGTGCAGCCTGGCTCTCACAGTGGAGGCAGCCATTCCCTTTCAGGGACACACTCTTACAACTAGCAGATGGGTCTGGAGGATCCCAACGAGGGAGGGTGGGGACTGGGGTCAGAGAGAAAGGCCACCTGAAAACTGGGAAAAGCCAGCCCCCTAACTGGTGAACAAGAGGGAAACTGAGGCCCGAGGAGAGACAGGGCTTTCCATGCAGAAGAGCCCAGGGCAGTCCCCGGGAGGCTCCTTGGTGGCCTGGGCCTGAGGCAGGCACACCCACAATGCTAAGCCTGCGGCCCTGCATGGAACCCCACCAGGGTCCCGGGACAGCCCTGCGCCAAGCACGCTGGGGAGGGACCGCTGCCTCCCGGAGTGCCGGGCCTGGCCTGGCCCCGCTGGCTGGCAGTGGAGTTGGGGCCGAGTTGCCAAGCTCTTCTCTCTCGGCCTGGCTCTGCCGTCGGGGCACCTACCGTGCGTGGCACCTGCACCCGTACGTCGGCGCTGTCCAGCGGGGAGTGGCTGCCCTCCCGTGGCCGCCTCTCAGCGTCGGCGCCTTCCTGGTACTTCCTGCTCCTCACAGGGAGGGGGAGCGAGTCCCTGCTGGGCCCCCGCCAGTCCCCTGAGTGCTGGCTGTCTCCATTCTGCTCCTGGGGAGGGGTAAGGCTGTGGGTATCCTGGGCAATTATGAACCCATGTCCCCTCCCAGGACCCTGAAGGGAAGGCCCGGCCACCTCCATTTCATGGACACACACAGTAGGTGCTCAGTCTGCAGGGAAGCGGAGACGCCTGGGGCTGTGGGCCCTTGGCTGGGGCCGGGAGAGGCTGGGAGGTGGCGTCTGAGGGCCAGTGTCCTCCACTGAATGTCAGCTGGCTTACACCAGCAATGACAGTGACGGTGGGCGTCCTCTGGCCTTGTCCCCACAGCAGAGCCCTGACGGCCATCCACAACTGACCACACGCCGCACCAGAGGAACCAGAGGCTCAGAGAGATCAGGCTGCCCCAGGCCACACAGCACCCGCCGCTGGCAGGCACTGGGCCAGCCGGGCAGCCCCTGAATCTGTCCATCTGGGTTTCCTGAACCCCAGCTGGCGTCTGCACCTGGAGCAGCTATCCCCACTTTGGGTGCAGAGTCCAAGAGGGCGGAGAGCAGGCAGGAGTGGGTGTCCCTGTGTGGGACTCTGGGGGACGCAGTCACCTAGAGGCTGGGTGGGGCATGGGGGCCCAAAATGTGTGAGGACCACGCCTCGCCTGGGGCACAGCTGGCCAGAGGCTGAGGGACGTGGGGAAGCAGGTGGCAGATGGGCCCACGCAGGGCCTCAGGCCAAGGAGGGCACATTTATCTCCCAGCAGATGGGCGCTGAGGTGGGTGGCAGTGGTTCGGCCTCATTAACCCCGATGCCCATGCTCCGGCTGCGGCTGTACTGACATCAGTCTCCTGTGTCCCCAGCTCACCCTCTCCAGGGGGAGTCTCAGCAGGTCCCAGGGCTCCATGCTCAGCCTCTGTGTCCTCTTGGGTCTGGCCCCTGAAGACAGAGGGGCCCAGTCAGTCCAGGGCTACCCTGGTACCTCGCATCGGCTGGGCCAGGCCAGGGTCTCTGGGGAGCCAAGGAGCAGCCTGGCCATGGCTTTCTGACTGCCAGCCCTGCTCGTGGAGGCAAACGCCATGTCCAAGTGTCCTCTGCATCCCCCCACTGTATTGTCAAAGCCAGACAAGCCAGTCAGAGGGGGACAGACATCAAGATGGGGTGCACCCGGGGTGGGTCAGGTAGGGTCTGGCTTTGTACCCCCTCCCATCCTGAAAGGGCCTGGCTCTGGACAGGGCTGTCCCCTGTGACGCACGGGGCCTGCCCCCGTAAGCTCCTGCTGTTCCCTCTGCCTCAACGTCCCTCTTGTGGCCCCTGTGGCCCTTGGCCACCCCTGTGAGGCCACCCGATCCCCCCTCCTGAGGGTGCATCATGCTGTGCCCTGGAGGCAGGTGGGGTGGGCCTCTGGGTGTTCCCAGCTCACCGAGGTCAATCCGGGCCAGGGTGGGGGAGACAAAGGCCTCAGATGAGTCCCCCAGACCAGCTCTGCCGTGGGGCCTTCCCCAGGCTCCTGTCCATCCCTCCTGGCCCTGCACTCACCCTTCTGGCCGTGTGTCCACCCAAGGGACCCCCATCTCCTCTGCCACAGTGGGGTGGGGAGGCACAGCCGTCTGACCCAACACTGGCCAGCTTCGGACTCAGTGGAGCCACCAGTGCCTGTCCTGGAGCCCCCGGACAGCCCCACAGCCAGACCCACCTCCAGGCGTGTCCTAGCACGGCCCTGGCAGAGGCAGGTGCTCAGCCCTGAGGGGCCCGGCAGGATTTGGGAGTTTGGGAGAGTGGACCCTACCTCAGCCCGGCTGCTCCCTGAGCACTTGCAGGGGCCCAGGTCCAGGGCAGAACAGACCTGGCAGACCAGAAATGAGGCAGCAAACAGAAAAGAGGGGTGGAATCCAGGATGTGGAGAACGACCCCAACCAGGTAAGATGCCCTGTTGGGGAAGCCTGAAGTCCTGTGGGAGGGGCTTGATGGCCTGTGGGAGGGGCTTAATGACATGGCTGTGGGCACTTCCCTGAGGAGGAGATGGAATGGATGGGGATGTGGCTGCTATGGAAAAAGCAGCAGAACATTCCAGGAAAATAGGATGATGGTAGAACGAGGCTGACACTGAGGACCCTGTCTCTGCTGTCCCTACCCATGGCACATCTCCAGGGAGCCTCTTGCAGCCGGGAAGACCTTAGCTCTCTTCCCCTCTTGCCCACAGCCCCCAACCCCCCGTGCCCACCCTTACCCAGTCTTCCTGGGAACCAAGCATCCCTCTACCTGCAGGCACATGGGACACGAGCTGTGCCCAGGACCCCGCACACAGTGGGTGTGTCCGAGGGTGGGGACAGAGCCAGCCCTAGCGTCAGTGGGCGCTGTGAGAATCCCATCCTGGCACCTCCAGACCAGCAGACTTGGCCCCATTACTACGCCTTGGAGCTCAGTGCCCTCCTCATCAGACTGGGCCGGCAGGGATGGGCCGGGCAATTCCCCTCTGCACCATCCAAGGCTGGGACGGCCCCACCTCAGTGCCCCCAGCCTCGGATGGTGCAGCCTGAGAGGGATGAACGGGGCTGGAGTTGGCGTCCTGTTCTCTGAGGGGCGGCCTGCTGCCCATCCCCACCCAGATTAGCAGGGCAGCTCTGAGGATAGCTCCCCACCCCGTGCAGTTTGGGGCCTGCTCCCACACCATGGAAATGACAGAGGGGGCATATCTGTGCCAGGGCAGGCCCTTTGGTACTTACCACACCCAGGAAGAGCCCCGCTCCGTCTCCCAGCATGTATGCCTGAGGGCCTGGCTCTCCCTCTGCCAACCCCCCGCTGCCACGGGGGCCTGACTCAGTTTCCCCACCGCATGCTCTGGGTCCCGGGCCCAGCCCGGCTGCTTCTGCCAGGCCTGGCCCTCCACCAGGACGCTGCATGGATGGGCCCAGGCTGCAGCAGTGGCTGAAATGCCCTTCTGAGACACAGCCTACGTCTGGCTCCGGGATGGGCACCCTCATGGCCAGGCACGGACGGCGGGCAGAAGGCCCGCCGCACCCGGCTCAATGCCCCCTCTGTCTGCAGAGTCGCCTGAGGTGTTGAGTCTGAGCCCCACAACCTTGGCTGAGCTGCCCAGACAAGGCGCCCTCAGGCCCGGCCCACTGGCTTGGCTTCCTGTCTCCCACCTACGAGGCAACGTTTGGAAACTTCTCCCAGCACCGGCCCATGGCCACCTGGCACTGACCGTCATGCTGTGGTCCTCATTTCTGTCCTCGCTCAGCTCCAGATGTTTATGTGCCGTGGCCAACACCAGCCCACCGAGCCTCTCGCTCACCCTGCGCCTGCCTGACCCCTCAGAGCAGCACCCGCCCCGCTGGCTTGGCGCAGACCTCAGCAACCCCTATTTTCAGCTGCTCCCCCCAACGTTCCTTCATGCCCACCTCTGGTCTGCGATCCAGGCAGTTCTCGCCTCACTGCAGAACCAGAGTCCCACCCCTCCCCGTGTCCCTGCGGCTGGATCACCTGCCCCTCACTGCCTGCCGCCCCAGCCACGTCCCTAAGTCCCCTCTCCATGTAGGGACCGAGGAGGGGAGTGGTAAGAGCTGGCCCAGGCCTTGCTCCTCTGCTGGGTCCTGAGGATTCCACCCCACTGGACAGGGGCCGTACACAAGGGCCCGAGAGGCCTCCCTCCTTCAGCCAAGGCCCTCTCCTTGCTCCTCAGCTCCGGGTCTCCCCTGCCCCTCCACCCACCGGGCTGGGCCCTGCCTCCGGGCCTTTGCACAGGCTGTTCCCGCTGGCTGGCTGCTGTTCCTCCGTCTTAGCTCGAGGCTCACTTCTCTCCAGTTCTACTCATTGCTAGAACATCATCATTAAAGCCCTAACTCCTCATGGGATGGTGTTAGCAGGTCCTGAGATTTACATGAGGTCATGAGGGTGGAGGCCCCATAATGACCAGTAGCCTCAGGAGAAGCCACCAGCGTTCTTGAGCTCCCCCTTCTTCCTCTGTCTCTCTGCTATTTGAGGACACAACAGGAAAGCACTGTCTGCCAGCCAGGAAGAGGACCCTCACCAGTGCCCCAGCATCCAGCACCCCGACCCTGGCCTTGTGGGCTCCAGAGCTGTGAGGAGGCAATGTTTGCTGCTGCTCTGGCCCGCGGTGCTTTGTGAGGGCAGATGGAGTGGACAGTCACGTCCCGAAGCCCACCTGGCTGCTGCAGCCTGCCCCCGACATTCCTATCCACACCAACCCTCTGGGGCTTTGCTGCAGCCCGCCCCCCCACATTCCTATCCACGTCCCCCACGTTCCTATCCACACCTCCCCTGTGGGGCTTTTCTTCCTGCCACAGTCCTCCCTGCAGCTCGCTCCTGGGCTGTCCCTTCCTCACCTACCGGATGCTGGACGCGGCTCAGTGGTCTTGGTGCTAGCGAGGGCCCCAGCAGTGCCTGGCACACGGCAGAGGCCTGGTGACCAAGCAGCGGGCATTTACTGTGGGCCTGATGCGTGCCAGGCCCTGTGTACCATTTCCCACGCACTGTCCCCTCTGAGCCCTCCTAGGTGTGTGGACAGAGGGGGCATCCTCCGTCTCTGTGGATGCCCAAGGGCCACTGGGCTGCTGGAACGGGAGGATGGTGCTGCAGCCAGGCCTGCCGCGCCCACCCAGGGCCCGAGCGTAACAGGCTTATGGGCTCTCAGGCTCACTGGCCTCTCACCCCTGCCAAGCTCTGTTCCTAGCACTACTGGTGGGCCCCTTCCCCAGATGGGGACACTGAGGCACAAGTGGGTCAAGTCACTTCATCAGCTGGCCAGGGCCGGAGCCCATAGCCTAAACTGCAGGGGAAGTTATGCCAGGCACATCCCTGACCCCGAGGCCACCCATTGGGACGTTCAGGGAGCTTCTTCCAAGGAGGCTGGTGGTATCCTTCCCTAGGAACTCCTGTGTACAGAACTGCTGCTCCGAGCTCAGGAAGCCCAGGGCAGGGCCCAGGGACTGTGGAACACTGTCAGCAGGGCCAAGGACAGTCACACACCTTGTGGGACACCACGGCCCAGGGGACCTGCCGAGCGCAGGGGTGGCCCTGCAGGGCTCAGGGCCGGCTTCATCTTCCTAACATGCTAGTCATGCTGCCCGAACCAAGAATGGCAGCAGAACCTCAGAGCCTCCATCTCCTGCCCTGCATCCTTGCTGGGATGGGGGGTGGGGCAGCCCAGGAGCAAGTGTGGGAGGCCGGGGCCTGTGCCTTCTGGCCAGGGAGGTGGGGGCTGGGAGCTGTCAGGGTCTCACAGAGGCCACATACCCAGAGGAGCTGGACAGGGCCAGCGGCTGGCAGGGAGGTGCCCCCCCAGTCACACTTCTGGGGCCTCTCTGCTGGGTGGGGGGCTCGCAGAGGGCGGTAGGATTAACACGTAGCCTGAGCCCCGCCAAGGCTCTTCGTCCTCCAGCCGCACACAAGTCTCCCAGTGTTTATCAACTTGACACCAAACCCACAGGCGCCCAAGGGCCACGCCCATCACAGCAACGCCCCGCCCCGCCCCGCCCCCTGGGTGAAGCCCCTCCCCCGATGACTTCCTCCTTCGCACCCCCGCCCCGCCCACAGCCGGCTGGGCCCCGCCCTCCTGTGCCCCCAGCCCCCGCCTCCCCCAGCCGCACGGCCAGGCTCTGGGGCGCCTCTGCACCCCCCTTCCCTCCCGCAGCACGCAGATCCACCCCGCGCTCCGCACCTGCCGAATGGGGAGGCTGCGTGGGTCCTTCCGTGGCGCCCCGACCCGCAGCGCCAAGTCTCCCGGCCTCAAGGCCTTGCCCCGGCCAGGCTCACCTGAGGGGGTCTCCCGCCCCCGCCCCCGGCCACCCAGACTCTAGGGGTGCAGCCGGCCTCCCGCAGCGGCGTCGGGGCTGCGGCCCTAGCCAGGAAGCAGGGCTGCCCTGGGTGGGGAGGAGGACCCTTCCCCAGCCCTGGGGGAGGAGGCATCGCCGGCTGGAAGGGGTCCCCCACAGAGGAACCAGGGAGGGACAGAAGCTGCTTTGTCCCAGCGTCCTCCCACTCCAGCCCCCCTTTTCCTTGGCTCCGAGAAAGAAAACGTCAGGAGGAGCCGGAGCCTTTCCAGAGCTGGGCCCAGCCCTGCCCCCAGTTGCTGCTGGGGTCCCAGATGGTGGTAGTGCTGGGTCAGGGACACAGGAGGGGCACTAGAGATCTCGGCAGAGCTCCCCACCCTTAGAAAACCCAGGCCATGGGTAGCTACAGGCCTGGACATCCTGGGGGGCACATTCCAGCCCATCCTCACCCACCCACTGCCATTGGTCACAGCACGCTGTCCCACAGGCTCGCTGAGGGCCCCAGAGCTATGCTTCTTCCTGTCCTCAGCCTCTGTGGCAGCTGACATGTACCCCTAATTTCCCAGGAGAAGTCATCGTCAGAAACCAATGAGCATCGTCAAAAACCAGGGGGATGGCTGGGCATGGTGGCTCACGCCTATAATTCCAGCACTTTGGGAGGCCAAGATGGGAGGATCGCTTGAGGCTGGGAGTTTGACACCGGCCTGGGCAACATAGTGAGATCCTATCTATGTAAAAACATTTAATTATTAAAAATAAAATAAGAAAAAGAAACTGCAGAGGCCCAGTGCCATCTCCAGGACTGGCATCCCCAGCCTGGTCCTCAATAGGCCTGGGGGCCCCAGGTGTGTTCTGGGCAGCAGACATCCCTTCTCAGGGGCTGGGGCTCAACTCCTGGCAAATTTAAGACCCTTAGGGGTGAGGGACACGGGCGGGGTGGCTGGCTTCCCCAGGCCTGCCCCTCACCCTCCTGCCAGCTGCCTCAGGAAGTCAGCCCAACATGGCACCACCCCCATCACTTCTTAGTGTATTTGCTTTACAGAGGCATGTGCTGTTGTGTGTCTGCAGCACTGCTGACCTGCATGAGATACCAGCGGCCCAGGAATGAGGTCACCCCGTGGCCTCGCCTGGCCTTGGGTCTTGCCAGATTATGGCCCCAGGCACATGGGGCTCCCCCAGCCCAGCCTAGCCCTCTGGCCTCCCAGCAGCTCTCCCCGACCCTGGTATGAGGATAGACGCTCTCCCAGCACCGAGTGCTCCAGGGGCAGCTGGGGGTGGGGGCCCTGGAGCGGCCAGTGGGGCAATAAGCGGCCACCTCCTGTCCTTCTGCCAGCAGCCCAGCGGCGCCACTCAGGACGCGGGTGGGAGGGGCTCAGGGTGAACTTCAGGCCTGTGCTGTCCCTGAGGCCAGGAAGAACCAGCTTGCAAGGGGCATTTTCTGGCGGCTGCCCCTTCAGCCATGTTGGTCCTGCCTCTATCCCATCCCTCCCCAGCTCCCCATCCAGTCGGTGCCTGTGACTCCCACAACCCTAGAACTCACCCTGGGCCTCATAGCCAGCCAGGTCAGGCTTCTCTGAGGCTGCCGGGCTGCTCAGGCGGCTAAGCACCAGCTGCAGCTGTGACACGTTCATGCGGGCCGTGAGCTCCCCGTGGCGGTCCCCGATCTGTGGTGAGCAAAGCAGGAGGCAGAGTGGGCAGGTGTGGCTGAGGGCCCTGCTTTGGGCTCCAGGGGGACCGCGATGGCCCTCAGCACACCGTTGCTGACCTTCTGGGTGGCCTGAACCTGTCACTGACCCCTGGGCCTCTGAGGGAACCAGGACTCACTGTGGCCCCTGAGGTGGAGTCTGGGGGTCTGTCCCTGGGTAAGGTGGTCCCACAGGTCCTCAACAACCACTAGTCCCACCTGAGAGATCTTGGGGTCCTGGCTGGCTGGCCGAGAGAGGCGCAGTGGGCAGGGCCAGGCCCCTTGCCCACTCCTCATGGGATGGTGTCAGCAGGTCCTGAGGTTTACATGAGGTCATGAGGGTGGAGCCCCATAACGACTAGTAGCCTCAGGAGAAGCCACCAGCGTTCTCAAGCTCTCCCTTCAAGGGGTCTGGCCCTGCCCACTGCGCCTCTCTCAGCCCCTCCCGTGAGCACCGAGGCTTCATGGGGGACCCTCCCAGGAACATCCACATTGCTTGGGAACCAACAGTTTGCTTAAGTGGAAGAGGGGGTGGCACGGGGGTGGGGGGACTGTCATGCAGAGCCCTAGAGGGCCCTGGAGGCTGTGGCCTGCACTCAGAGGGACTTGGGGGCTGTCTGCCGGCCGCCAGTAAAAAAACTCTCCAGACGAGGCCTTTGCTGGCCTTCACGTGCCTGCCCCTTCTCCACCCTCGCCCAGGCGCCTGCAGGCCTCCCCACCCGGCTGCCTCCTGCCCGGGCTGTGGGTCGGCAGGGCTGCCACTGTCTTCAGCATGGACAGACTCTGGGTGTGCAAAGGGTGGCGGCATGGGAGTGTACGGACAGGCCAGGAACTGGGAGGCCCAGACTTCACGCGTGACGTCCCGCCCTGGCTGCAGGGGGAGGGTGCTGGTGGGCAGAGCCCAGAGACCCTGTGCCACCTCTCCAAGGAGGAGGAGAGCTGCCCAGGAAGGCACCAGCTGGGGGGCTGCAGGAAAAATCCCTGGGCGCAGTAGACAAGTCACCAGCAGGCCTCGGAGGGACCTGGCGGCCAGGCGGTTGCAATGGGCCTGGAAGGATGGGGGTAGTCCAGGCACGCGAAGGCTAGATGGGGGCGGAGCGGACCTGCCCTCTGGAGTGGGCTGGACGATGCCCGGGGCCTCTGGTGGCAGGCTGGCTCACCTCCTGGGAGATTTGCAGGTGCTTCTTGGCGAAGGTCAGGGCCTGCGCCGGGCGCCCCATGGACACGTAGGCATTCCCCAGGCTCCAGCACGCCCGTCCCTCGCCCACTCTGCCAGAGAGGGAGACCGAGTCCATACCCGCCCTCTCCAGGCCTGCCCCCAGCCCCTGGTGGTAAGGACCCCAGCATGACCATAGCTTCGAGGGTCATCGGGGGCCCCCAGCCAGGACCTCCCACAAATTCTGCCACCTTCAAGAAGCCCCAGTCAGCTCCGCCCTTTTCCTTCCCGTTAAAAGGCTTAGTGCACAGAACCCGGCAGCCGGGCCTGTGGCCGCCTCTGCCTTCCAGGCAGCTTCTGGGCCCTGGGACTCGCTCGCCCCCTGGCGGCCAGTGAGCCTCCACCCGTGCACTCCCTCCACCCCTAGAGGCACCCCCAAGTCACGGGGTGGGGGGATTGTTTTTATATTTGAGGGAAATGCATCTAACAGGAATTTGACCATTTTCAAGCGGATGATTCAGTGGCATTTTGTTCATTCACGCTGTGTAACTGGCACCTCTGTTCCAGAACATTCTCATCACCACCCCACAAGGGAAAACCTTGGGCTGCTTTTAAGCCTCCAGGCAGGGCAGCCTTTCAGAAGACCCCTCCTCTCCGCTACCTGTGAAAAGCCACAGGCCTGTGGCTCTGAGTCCCTTGTTCTGGCCACCACCCACCCCAGACGCACGCAGGACGGTGCTTAGGGGCCTGCGGTTGGCCGGCTTGTCTCTCTACAGAGACTGATATTTACATACATACACGGGTGGTGGGGGCCAACAGCGTGGCGAATTGAGCGATGGGAGGGGGACCCCACCCCCTTGTGCCAGGGGTCAGCGGCTGGCCCAGTGTCCACACCATCTGGCTCCGTCCCCACAGCGGCACTGGCCTGCCCGGGTCGCACCATGGTCAGTGACACAGCAGGGGATGAGACCCAGGCCATCTGGCCCGGGCCACGGTAATTCAGCCTGTGGGCTGGGCCAGGTCTGCCCGCTGCGCCCGCGCCCGCTCACCTGTCGGCCAGCTCCTGGGCGATGAGCAGGTGCCGCAGGTGGTACTCAGCTGCACGCTCGTAGTCCTGCAGCAGCGTGTAGGTGTTGCCCAGGCTGTAGCAGGCCTGCGCCTCCACCGCCTGGTCCCGGAGCTGCCGGGCCAGCTGCAGCGTCTTCCTGCGCAGAGTGGCAGGTCAGCCCCCGGGGAGGAGGGTTCCAGGGTGAGGAGGGGTGGAAGGAAAGAATGGGGACCCAGCCTGCCGATGGTCCCCTGCCCCGGAATCCCGCTGGGGCCCCTCTGGGGTCAGGCTCATCCCCATCCTCAAATGGCCACAGAGCCTGACTGCTGGCCCCAGGTGGACAGGGGTCCTGTCAGGCTCTGGCAAGTCGCCTGACCACCCTGAGCTGCCACTCCTCCCTGGAGGACCCAAGACTGCTGTGCCCACTGCTCGGGCTGAGATGGGGTTAAGTTTAGTGCTGGGTCCAGGACCCAGTGCTGACAGCCGGGCTCCACCTGGCAGGCACTGCTTTGTGGCTCAGGCCAGGGGGCAGATAGCCCAGACCTCCCATAGGCCGGCTCCTCCGCTCCCACCTCCCCACAAGCGTTGTCCGTCTGCCCTTCCTGGGGCAGCCTAGAACCCCAGCTTGGCTTCTAGGGAGGGGAGGGAAGGGGAGGCAGTCAGACTCCGGCCTCGGGGCGGGCACCTCTTTGGCCTGGCACCCAGCCCCCCGGCCTGCTGTCTGCTGGGAAGTGTGGGGACCACCTACTTATAGTACTCGGCGGCCACGTCGAAGCGCCCCAGGAAGACGTGGGCGTTCCCCAGGTTGCTGTAGGCCCTCCTCTCGGCTGCCTTGTCTCCAAACTCCTTAGCGATGGCCAGGCGCTGCGGGGACAGATCCAAGGCCAGGCGGTCACGGAGCAGCCCTGGGGCCTGACATGGCTGGACAGGTGCTGCCTCCCTGCTCGGGTGGCCGGCCACATGTCTGTGGGTCCGGGGCAGCGGCCAGGAGCCTCAGAACCAAGTGCAGATGAGGCCAGGGCTCGGTAGGGGGTGCCACTGCCCAGCCACACCACACCACCCTGCTATCAGGGACCACCAGGGGGTGGCCCAGCCTTGCCCCTGCAGCAGCCCAGCCCCTCCACCCTGTCGCCCGGCCCAGCTCAGCTCACCTCCTTGTGGAAGGTCGTGGCCTCCGTGAAGTTCCCCAGCAAATAGTGGGTGTTGCCCAGGTTGCCGTAGGCCCTGCCCTGTGCCGCCCGATCACCCAGCTCCTTCACCAGGGACAGGTTCCTCCTGGGGGCCGAGTGCCTCTGAGCCATGTCTTCCCAGCTCAGGTCCTCACCCACCCCAGGCAGCCGTCAGGGCCATGCCCCGGAAAGAGGGTGGCTAGGGTAGGCTTCGGTGTCCTCCAGCTCTGAGGTCCCTCAGTCCCTGACAGGGGCAAGCTTGGGGTAGGGAGCCTACAGCTGAGAAGGGGGGGCTGGGCACACCTGGCTGTCACTGCCCTGGGGCTGCTGGGAGGTGTGGGGCTGGGGCCAGGGGTCTGGAAGTGTCAGTGGAACCCAGAAATTCACAGACCAGCCCCGGTCCCTGGGCTGGCCCTGCCCCACTCACTCATAGAACTCGGAGGCCTTGCACAGTGTCTCTCGGACGTCGGGCGGCAGGTGCCCGGGGTCCTGAGCGGCGTTCCAGGACAGCTGCTTGCCCTTGGCGTGGTACACATTCCCGATGTTGTAGAGGGCCCTCGCCTCCCCAACCTGTGTGCAGCAGGGAGGGTTGGGGCGTGCCTCCACGGCCCCCCACAGGATGAGCAGAGCCGGGCAGCCGGTGTCCTCCCCGTCCCAACTCCCTACGGCGAGGACCTTGGGGGCTCCCACTGAGTCACAGACTCTGAGGCAGGGGTGGAGCCCTGAGGATGGGACACCAGGGAAGCCAGGCTCCGTCCTTCCTTGTCATCTCTCCTCCTCTGCCAATTGATGTGGCCAGGACCGTAGGTCCTCAGCTCTGTCCTCTGAAGCCCGAGGCTGAGAGCTCCAGCTGGGACCAGATGCTGCGGCCTCAAGCCCACTCAGCCAACTCCAGCTGCTCGATGGGGGCAAGCCACATCCCCCCAGCGTCGGTTTTCTCGCCTCACAGGGCCACGGAGGGAGGTCAGCAAAGCCTGTCTTGGGTCCAGCACAAGCAGGGACGGAGCCACTCTCCTTGCTGTCACCACCCCCATCGAGCTCAGCCTCCCACCACCGCAGCCCAGAGCACCCCCTGCCTCCTGCAGGGCCCCTCAGGGAGTGACTGGGGGTGTGGACAGATTCAGGGGGAGGTCACTGAGAGGAGCAGCAGAGCTGAGGGCGGAAGCCGGGGGCCTGGGCTGCAGCGTCAGCAGGTGCTGGGCGGGCCGTTTTGGTGGCCCACAGTTTCCCATGTCCTATAGGGTTTGGGGACCGGCCTCCCTGTCATCCTTCCCACGAGGAGCTGGATGAGTGGCGTGTGACCCGCCTGCCCCCACCCCGGATCTCAACGCCGGCGGGGCAGGGTTGGGAGGCGCCAGCCCGACCAGCACCCACCTTGTCTCCCTGCTCTTGGGCAATGCTCAGGTGGCGCTGGCAGCACACGGCAGCCTCGTCGAAGCGTCCCAGGACCTTGAGCGTATTACCCAGGTTTCCGCTGGCCTTGGCCTCCCCCATGCGGTCACCAATAGTCCTGGACAACAGGGAGGAGTGACAGGGGCCAGGCAGAGGACTGGGCAGGCCCCTGGGCCTGGGGCAGGGGGAGGCTGAGCATGGGGTGGGGCAGCTGGGCCTCAGGGGCCAGCCTAGGGCAGGAGGGCTGGGGTCTGCAGCTGTTAGGGTCTGGGGAGAGTCTGGGGGGGCCTGACGGTGGACTAACTTCCTGCTAACTGATTCAGACGACCCTTGCTGCGCGGCCACCGGCCCCGGACACTGGGCTGGGTGCTGAGGAGCCCGTGTGAGCTCACTGGCCACTGCGGGAGGGTTGCTCTGAGAAGCTCTGCCTGGCTGAGGGGTCAGGGCAGCTGCAGGCTGAGGAGGAGGGCACTGGGCAGGGCTGAGGGGTCAGGGCAGCTGCAGGCTGAGGAGGAGGGCGCTGGGCAGGGCTGAGGGGTCAGGGCAGC